TGAATTGGCCAAGCATCATCTGCCAGACCTATTATTTCCCATAAACATTGCGGCGATAGTGATTCCCGCCATTATATACTATTCCAATACTTCATTTTGCTTCTTGCTTCCATTTACTTTCTCCCCTATCCTTTTAAGCAAGCCCGGTATTATTCGCCTGCCTTTAACTAGTTTTCCTTACTTTTATGGTGGCCTCCTCAGTTACCTAATTCCCCCACCCCCATTTTATCCAGAGCTTGTCTCTTAAACTGCTTTACTTTCAACAACTGAGACTGGTTCAATTTCAGCCTTTCAATTCTTATTCTTTCTATTCTCTGGGTTTGTCTTGTTTATTTATATTCTGAGTCAACTTCAGAGTTACCTCTTTACATGTTTGTTATTGTTGTGAGGGGTTGTCTGTGGCGTCTATTCCAACTCATACAGGCTGAGTACAACTGAATGAAATACTGCAGGGTTCTAAGCCGTCCTCACAATCTTTCCCATGTTGGAGTCCATTGTAATCTCTGGGGCAATCCATCTCATTGAGGGGCCTCCTCTTTTGACAGATGGAATCCCCATGGTAGAAGTATTTATGCCACAGAAATCAACAACTGGTGTATATGTAAGGACTTTCTCCACCCCCACCCCACCCCCGCTGATTTTCTGAGTGACTTAGAAATAAATAGTTATCAGCTGGAAGATGATGTTTTATCAAAATATTATGGAGAGCTGGTTCTAAACATTTATCAGTGGACTCCAAGTATGCCCTCACAGAAATGTGTCTTTATGTTCACTAAGAGATGTGTATAGATTCCTGGAATGGTTAGCACATCACTATTCATAGTTGTCTTACATCAGTAACTGTGCAAATGTCCATCAGCAGTAAGACAAATTAATAAATTGTCACATTATCATTTATACACACACAGTACATACATACACATATATGCATACGTATTTATGCAATAGGATACTCATCTACCCACTGCCATCAAGTGGATGCTGCCGCCAAGCAACCATGTAGGACAGAGTAGAACTGGTCCTTAGGTTTCCAAGAGTGTAAATACTTCTTCATGGGATTAGACAACTTCAACTTTCTCCCACTGAGGGAAAAGCTGGTGGGTTTGAACCACTAACTGTGCAGTTAGCAGCCTAACACTTAACCCTTTATGGTACCAAGACTCTTTTTACAATGGAATAGACTGACAATGAACGAATATACACAGTAAATGGATCAACTGAACAAACACAGTGTTGAATTAAAAAAAAGCCAGACACAGAAGAGTCAAGATTGTAGCATTTCTTTTATAAAAAGTGAAAAAAAATGGAAAAACTTACCTATCTGCTTTAGAACATCAGGAGACTTTGACTGGGAGTGACAAAAAAGGGTCCTTAAAATGTTCTATTTATTAAGATAAATGCTAGTTACTTATATAGATGTATTTACTTCATTGAGCTCAACTCTTACACTTGGCATACTTTTTTGTAAAAGGGCTATACTTTAACAAAGAGTTAAAAAAAAGCACAACTCTTTTACTTAGTTACTTCATAAAGGCAGGGATGTTTCTCCCCCCAAAAAAAGTTTTATTGGCATATAATTCACAGATTTTACAATTCAATAGTTCAACCACATCAAGAAGAGTTGTATAATCATCATCATAAACAGTTGTAGAATATTTTCTGCAGTCTTGTACCCATAGTTATTAACTTCCCTTTCCCCCCTACCTCCCCTGCCATACTCGAGGAACCATTAATCCAGTTACTGTCTCTATAGATTTACCTAGCCTGGATTTCACATACAGAAAAACATTAAAACAAAACTAACAACAATAACACACTAAAACAGAAAAAAAAACCTCAATTGAAAAGAAAGCAGAAAACATTAAAAATAAGAACAAATTTAAATGGCTCACAAAGGAGCTCAAATGATAGGATCCTAAATTTTAACCAAACTGAATTTGCAGCAATCCACTTTCCAATGCATTGTGCAAGCTAGCAAGACTAATCATAGGCCCAGTCCATGGTGAGGGGGAGTCGCCCTGAGGGTTAATTGACGTGTTTTTCCCCTGCACTTTTTACATCTTTATTTTGACCCATTTAAAATGGGTCAAAAGGGAGATCAAATGATAAGATATTACATTTTAACCTAACTATGTCTAGGCAGAGATTTTTGGTTCTTCACTGCCAACCTCCAGCTCAGTCTCTGGTACATAGTACCAACTAAAAAACCCACTAACATTGATTGATTCTGACTCATAACAATCTTATAAGACAGAGCAGACCTGCTCCCTTTATGCTTCTGAGACTAAAAATCTTAATGAGTAGACAACCTCATCTTTCTCCTGCAGAGTGGCTGGTGGGTTTAAACTGCTGACTTCATAGTTAGCAGTCCAATCCAATGTTAACCCACTGCCCTACTAGGGGTCCGTGGTGGGCATTCAATATATATTCAGAAAGCAGCTATATAAAGGAGAGTTCTGTGGATGCAAACCCTTCCTGTGATTCCTGAGTGTTGGTAAAATCATGTCAAACTTCACCGCTCAGGTTTGCTGTGGGGAGGGAAAGGATAGGAAGAGGAGTATTTCCTGAAGCCAGGGCAGGGTCTCTGATATCCTCTTCCATTTGACTAGGGTCCTGCTAGAGGGTAGAGCCATGTCTTTGATTTCCCTAGCTAATTTCTACAGTGTACCATATAGGACTCTGCAGCAAAACATCTCCTGCAAACCAGAATGCTAGTGCTAGGGCCCAGGATACACAATAGGGTTCCGTACAGAGGGATGTGTGGCTGGGTAGTGAACAGGATGCTCTTTAGCTTCACTCGGCTTGAAGGAGATGCAGGATGAGGAAGGATGGTCAGGAGCTGGGTAGGAGTGTGGGGTCAGATCTTAGAATTAATTCTGCACTCTGAAGAAAAGCTGAGAAGCTCCATAGGTATACAAGACATTTAGTTTCCCAGGGACTGCAGAGTACCCAGATTCTGAGGTAGTTGCCCTAAGAATAGCTTTATATCACAACGTTCATGCTAGATAATGTTCTGGCTCTCAATTGCTATGTAATAAACCTGTCTACAACCTAGAAGCTTAAAACAGCAATTATCATTTTATCATTTGTCAGTATTTTTGATAAGGTTTAGTAGAAAAGGCTTGGTTTCGTTCTATATAATGTATATGGGGCATGGAATAAGTCAAAGGCCTTCTTTACTCAATGACTGGATCATCAACTACAATGGGTTGACTGGGTGCATGTGTCTAGAACCTCTATTTTTGTTCATCATTAAGTTCCTCCTTCTTCTCAGTGCCTGTTCCTTTCTATGTAGTCTTTCTCCAGCAGGGTGGAAACAAGAGTACAAATTAGGGCTACCAAGAGCTCAAAATTAGGGCTTCTAGGTAAGTTTAAGGCTCAGAACTGAAAGGGCACTACATCCTTTGTGACCTTGGTTAAAGACAGTTACAAATCTGGTCCATATTTCCATGACCGAGGCCCACATAAGGTTATGATTCTAGGATGCTTGTTGCTTTTCCTTGAAAAAATTTTCTTTTAATTGTGAATTGTGTGAAAGTTGGCAGAGCAAGTCAGTTTTCCATTCCACAATGCACATATATTTTATGTCATTGATTGCAATCCCCACAATATAACATCCCTCAGCCTATTTCCTCTGTTGCTGTTTCTATTCCATCATTCCTATCCCTTCCTGCTTTCGAACTTTGTCCTAGGGCAAATGTTGCCCTTTGATATCAAAAGGTTGGTTGCTTTAAATAGTGCCTACCTCTTAGTGCAGTGGTTCTCAAACTGTGGGTCGAGACCCCTTTGGAGTCGAATGACCCTTTCACAGGGGTTGCCAGATTCATAACAGTAGCATAATTACAGTTATGAATTAGCAACAAAAATAATGTTATGGTTGGAAGGTCACCACAACATAAGGAACTGTATTAAAGGGTCGTGGCATTAGGAAAGTTGAGAACCACTGCCTTAGTGTTTTTATTTACCTTTCATATCTGTCCGTTATATCGATGACAATTGAGCCATGGGTACTGGTTTAGTTTCAGAGTCATAGTGTCTTTCTCTCTCCAATCAGTAAGTCTGGCCTTTGTTATGATTTTCAGCTTTCTTTCACAGCCAACCCTCAAAATCCAGCACCTACGAATGCAGTCATGTTCAGAACACTTGGTAGTGGTGGCCGGGTACCACCTAGTTCTTTGGGTCTCAGGGTGGTGGAATGTGCTGTTCACATGGTTCACTAGTCCTGTGTTTCCAGGTGGTATTTTTCATTGCTGATCATCGTTACCAGATAAGATTCCAGGGCAAACCTGTGTGGGCTGAGAATGCTGTAAGTCCCTCTTTTATTCTGCCCTTTATTCAGAAATGGTTGGCAGGCAAATGTACGGGCAGAGAATTCAAGTGGGCATGCGCGTTATGGGGTGCTACTGGACTATTGCCTGTATCAAGGAAGGCCAGGCTGCATGAGGCATTTATTTATTGAGCACCGATGCAGGTCCTTAACACATGGGTTATTTCGTTGTCCTTATTTTAGAGGAGAAAGGAGAGGCTGACAAGCACTCTTCCCTAAGCAGCCTCCTAGGCCCTTTCAGCCTGCAGTTCCATTCTGGCAGGGCACTGACAAGGGCGGGGTCTACTGGAGGGCAACACGCAACACAACAGGCCATCCCTTGATCCTCTGGGGGCGACCTTTCTCAGTGGACCTGGCTAGCCAGGCGGTTGGCTTCCAGGTAGTTAACGGAGGTAAATAGACGCTTCAGGTCTGTCTGCTAACCTGCCTCCACCGACCGGGATGAGGGGCGAAGTGTGAAAACTAGACCACGCGCGCCTTGTACCTAGAGGACATCAGCTCATGGCAGGCTGCAGGTTAGCACCAGCCCCCAAGGCTAAGGGTTCCGGAAGCTCGAAGTCTGCGCGCCGGGCCCCGCCCACGCGCTGGCCCCGCCCATGCACGCACGGGCGCGGCAGGCCCGCCTCCCACGCCGCGCTGGTCCCGCCCCCGAGATTGGCCGTGCGAGCCACCGTCCGCATAAGTCTGCCGCGCACGGCCAGGCGAAACTGAGCCGGCCGTGCGGGCTGTGTGTGTGGTGTGTGTGAGTGTGTGTGTGAGTGTGTGTGTATATGTGTTCACGGGGCGCCGTCTCAGCCCCGGGAAGATGGTGGCGGTGGCGGCGGCGACAGAGGCGAGGCTGAGGAGGACAGTGGCTACGACAGAACCCACGGGCAGGAACGGCGGGCGGCGCCGGGACCGGGACGTGACCCGGGCTGCGAGGCCAGGACTCGGGGCCGGGCTGCTGCTGCTGTTAGTCCCGCCGCTGCTCCTGCTGCTTCCCTGGGCTGCTGAGGCCGCGGCGGCGGCGGCGTCAGTGTCGGGCTCAGCCGCAGCCGAGGCCAAGGAATGCGACCGGCCCTGTGTCAACGGGGGTCGCTGCAACCCGGGCACCGGCCAGTGCGTCTGCCCCGCCGGCTGGGTGGGCGAGCAATGCCAGCATTGCGGGGGCCGCTTCAGGTGAGTGGGGGGTGGTTTGGAGGATCAGGCCTAACCTGAGGCTGGGCTTGGGGGGTCGCTTGGGACAGCTCCATGCCGATGCCGGACAGAAAGTGAGGAGGGCCATTCCTTGGTGGTTGAAGATCATTAGCTTCCAGGGAAGTCCTCCTATTAGGTCTGGGGTCTACCATTGGTGGAAGGGGAAAAAGGTTCGAGGCAAGGGTAGGGGCACCATGGTGGCATTTAGTTGTGGCAGTTTAGGGGCTTACGCAAAGCCAGACCTCAGAAACTGGGCCTATTTGGGATAAATGAGGGAGGAGATAACAAAAAGACGCGTGAGTCAGTTTTTACATCCCTTGTGCCCTTATGGCCTGATAAGCTCCCTGACTGATTGGAGATGTGGGATACTCTGAAAGAACAGGGCCTTTGAAGTGATTTGTTGGCTGGAAAGAAGGGAGAAAGGGCGGCATTGTGAGAGATTAGGAGCAAAAAGAACAGTGGTTGTTGGTTGAAAGTGCCGAAACTAGCCTTTGGAAACTCGGTGGAGGCTGCACATCCCAACAGTGTTGTAGAGAAGGATGTTGTCAAGGGTCCTGGAGAATATGCAGTTGGCCTGGTTTCAGGGGCAGTACTTCTTGGAGTTATCATTAATTGATCAATTAGCACTTATTTAGTATTTGCTTTCTTTGTGCTAGGATCTCCAGGTAGCATGCACTAATAAATAGATTAGCAAGACCCTGGCTTAGTTCAATAGGAGTTTGGACTGTAGCAAGAGATCCGTTTGCATTCAGCCCTAGTCGTTAGGGTTGGAAAGTTGTTCATGTTTTGGGAGCTGCTAACTGAACACCTATTATGTCTGATGTGGGAGAAGGAGGGGATATGGTGAACAAGGCAGCGTCTCCTTGGATGTTACATTCTAGTGAGGGTGGCAAGCAGTTAACAAGTAAATACGTTTTGCTATAAATGAACACAGTAATTTCAGATAAATTTCAGTAAGTGATACAAAGGCACAGTCTGATAGAGAATTATAGCCACCAGGTGAACCTGTGGGAATTCAGAGGTGGAGAGATTATGATTAGCTGGGGCAAGGGAGCCAAGGTAGACTGAGGAGGAGTCTAGCCGTTGGGGTGAAGTAGTATTTGAAAAGATGGTGTTGGGGGCAGAATTCACATGGAAGAAAAAAATCTAAACAAAGTTGTGGAGGCCAGAAAGTAAAGTTTTGCTGGTGCCAGTATATATCGAAAAGAGTTGTAGAGAGATGTTTAGAACAATCAAATTATAGACTCATTAATGTCAGAGCTTCAGGAGAACTCAGAGACTATTGAGATGAGCTCCTCAGTTTATTTATTATTTATTTTTTTGTTGTTCCTCAGTTTTATGGATGGGGAAACGAAGTGACTTCACATTTGCTGTGTAGTGGGGCTAGTTTTATAATTTAGATTTGTTAGGAACTTCCCTAATCTACAGATATTTGTCAACGGCTCTTTTGTATTAGGTGGTAGGATACAGTGGTAAAAGTAGACAGACACAGTTTTTCTTTTGTAGAGTTTATATTAATGTTTTGGGATTTAAACAATCCATTATTCACTTTATTATAATTTTGCTTACTCTCTAGAGCAGTGGTTTTCAACCTTCTTAATGCCGCGACCTTTTAATACCGCTCCTCATGTTTTGGTGACCCCGCCCCCAACCATAAAATTATTTTTATTTCTACTTCATAACTGTAATTTTGCTACTGTTATGAATCGGGCAACCCCTGTGAAAAGGTCGTTCAACCCCCAAAGGGGTCTTGACGCACAGATTGAGAACTGCAGTTCTAGAGGTAAATGGCAGGGCCCAGATGAGGGCATGATTTTGTTTGGAATGGGGATGAGATTAGTTACTGAGTAAGTGACTTGTGAATTGAGATCCAAGGGGTGAGAATGCAGTTTCTATCTGAGCGGTAGAGCATGGAGAGGCTAGCATATGCCAAGGTTTGGGCATGAGCGGAATCCTGGCAGGCTGGATAGAAGGCCAAGTGACTAGTAGAGAGTGAAGAGGAAAACAGCTAGACGGAGAGTGAGTAGGAGTCAGACCATGGGGAGGCCTTTCAGTTGAACTGAGATTTTTTTTTTTTTAGTTTCATAATTTTATTTGAGTGTTATTTCAATATATTCTAGAATAGTCCAATTGTCTTTAGGATCTTTTACGTTCTGGATTTGATTGGCCGTCTCTTCATGATGTCATTTAATTTCTTTCTCTATCTCATGTATTTCTTTTTTTTTTAATCACTTTATTGAGAGCTTTCACAATGCTTATTACAGTTCATACATCAATTGTATCAGGCATATTTGTACATATATTGCTATCATTCTTTTATCAACAGTTACTTTCTATTGACCCGGTGGTATCAGCTTCTCTTTTTCACCCCCTTCTCCCCCTGAACTGAGAATTTTAAACCTTTAGACCAAGGGCAAGAGAATAGCACAGTCCACATTTTTCCCCTCATGACATAAATACAGGCTTTTAGATCGCATTGACAGAACGAATGGCTTTGAGAAAGGCCAGCGCCTTTTGAATTTGAGGACCTTCCAAGATCAGGTGAGTGGATGGGGGATTGGGTCAGGTGAAGAACCTTCAAGATGTGAAAATCTGGGACGTTGTTTATTTGGATTTCAGGTTAGTAGGCAGTTGTCTATGTGGGTGGTGCACATTTATGACGAGATTAATATATCTATAATGTTTAGGTAGACTCACTTTGGGCATGAATGATGGTGGGCAATTAGGTGAGAGCTGTTGGCATGGGTTGGCCAAAAGTGATGAGAGCTTGAACTAGGCAGTGGGAAAGGAAGTAAGGATAGATGCTGTATTGGTGGAGAGATAACAAGGACAGTTCTGAGAGGAGAGGTACATTGGGCACATTGAATTTGAGGAGTTCTTAAGGTAGCCGCATGGCAGGGCGGATGTGAGGGCTGGAGTTATCTCTGTATGAGAGAGCTTACCAGGGAGAGCAGACAGGTCTGAATGCCCGCATAAATGGTCCAGAGGATTGGAGAAGAGCCACTTGTGATGAGGAACAGGCAGTTCCAACACGAGTTGTCTCAAATGGTGTCACAAACTGGAGTTCCATGTGAGTGAAGGTGCTCCCCTGGTCACACACCCCTTGTGCCAACCCTAGTTGGTGTCCATGCTCTTAATTGGGTGAAGAGTTCAGACCTGGATTCTGATGATATCACTTATATTTATGAGTTGCTGGCAGTTGCATTTTATTTAAACGAAAATAGGAATACATATTTCTGATATTTTTTCCCCTTTTACTTTTCATTAAGCTTACTTGAAGGGGAGAGTGAAATGTTTTGATAACAGTGGTATTTATCTTTATTTAATTTACAATCTTTTTACTGAACTAAAAGACATTAAATGATCACATTTAGGATATGAAATGACATTAAATCAGTGTTTTTAAGCTCTTTGGCTCTTAGGTCTTAACGTTAGAATTTTGCAGTCTTTTACATGGATTGATGGAAAGGTAAAATAATAGAACCAGTCAAAAACACTACTATAGAGTTGATTCTAACTCATGATGACTTAGTGCCTCACTGCATGCCTACTGTGTGCCAGGGACTTGGCCCAGTATTTTCATATGCATTGTGTAACTTAATCCTCTAAATTACTGTATGGTTGTACGTAGACAAGCCTATTTTTTTTCCCTGAATGAAATAGCCTACAGAAATGATTAATTATAAAGGAGAATGATGTTGGTTTAACACCAATGACTATAGGATCTTTAGTGGATAATTTCTAAAGAAGAACCACTTTTATAGGAATCTTCATAATCTTCATAATTCATAATAATTTTTTCCCATTGAAAATTTTCTTTGGAGGACAAATGAACCCCATGTTTCCCAAAGTAGATGATACTGTCCCCTGGCTGGGGATGTTGGAACAGTCATGGGGGGTGAGTGGTGGGGCATGCCTGTAAAAACAGATACCCACACTTTATTTTGTATTATGAGTTATAGAAAAAACATTTGTGATTGCTAGGGGCTTCTGAGTAACCCCCCCCTCCCCAAAAGTGGGTGGTGAGGGGGCAGTAGGCCAAATAAGTTTGGGAACTTATGGAGTAAAGCTATTAAGGCCGTCTGTGAAACTGGTAATGCATTATTTCTTCTAAGGTTCTGCTATACAAACCTTTTGTGAGGAGTCTAGAATAATTTGGTGAATTGAGTTTTCTTGTTAAGGCTTACCTTTTGTAGAAGAAAAGGAAAAGAAGGAAACATTTATTGAGCATCTGCTATGTACTAGTACTAGCACATGCAGTACTAGTAGGAGTTGCTGTAGCAGCTGCTACCAATTCTCAAATTTTTCTGCATTTCTTCTAGATACTGGGCTAAGAGCCTTTTGTAAATTACCTCTTTTAATACTGAGAATGATGCTACTTGTTATGCGTGTTCATGAATGAAATTTAGGCCTTTCCCCCCTGGTAGATTATATGCCCCAGGAGGACAGGGAGTTTTAGCTATATGGGTCACTCTTAGTTTTCCAGAGCTTGAAATAGTTTTCCAGAGCTGGAACTGACTCAGTGCTCAGTATTTGTTGAGTGAAAGAATGAACTTTTTTCTGACTTTTAAAAAAGTTCTCTTCACCCATACCACATGATTTGCCATATCTGGCTTTTTGGCTTCCTTTTTCTCCTAAACTTCACTATCTTCTACTGCTTGTTGGACATCTTTGCTGAAGCGTTTTCCTGTCATCTCATACCATGGCTTAAGACCAAACTTCTTATCCTCATTGAAAAAAAAAGCTTTCCTTTGTACTGAGTTTGGTTGTAAATTCTACCTTCAGTAACTCAGTGTTAGAACTTAGATGTGATTATTGGCTCTTTCTACCTGTTTATTCTCTCTTCTCCAAAGTTTTATGAATTTATCCCTTTCCATTCTTCCTGCTGTACACCTGACCCTTCACCTCATTGCCTGCTAATTAGTGTTTTCAACCGCCAGGCCATTCTCCGCTTCCTCATAAAAATCTGTGCCATTATCTTG